AAGATATTTATGTCCATTATATGTGTATCAGACTGTATAAAACACATCACATAGAAAATAAAAGTATTGACCATTTAACTGCTTGACCTGAGAATTGATCACAATCTCTGGATATCTAAAAACCATCATAAATAAAGAAAGAAAGCAGTTAAATCTGAGATGTCTTCAAACATCTTTGAACAAACTGTTTTGACCTTAAAAACTACCGTAGACATTTAGAATGTCATTTAGGAGAAAATACATTTTGCACATTGATCTGTTCTGATCAGTCGTATTTAATATTGTTTATAATTTTTTGTCTTTGAAATCTAAAACTGACGGACATTTATTTTGACACACAGGAAATAAAACAACTGTTTTGAGTTAGCCACATACACCGACTGTTCCCAGCTTCTCTTGTTTGGAACTGAATCTAGCAGGGCCAGAACTGGAGCTGCCGTGTTGTATTTTTGGAACCAGAGTCTATGCAATAAGGCTGTGGGTTCTAAGTCCCGCCCACTCCCACACCCCAGAACCATTGTGTTACAGAACATTTCTATTAAGCATGAAATAAATAATTACAGCTAAACAAAAGTATTAGGACAAAATTATTATTTTATCCAGCAGCAACCGAACGATGCAAATCAAGTGTGAACACCTAAAAAAAATGATCTGGTGTACTTTTTGATTTTAATACAGGACATTGTTCAGTTTGTTTAGGTGGAGAGTCGAGCCTTAAAATGTGTACCTGCCTGATCTCATTTGACTTGAACTTCTGGGTTTTAGTCAAATTTCCATAGAATCAGTATATACAGTTGCCCAAAGGAGTGCCTCTGTTCTCATGTTCTCTCAATAGTTGATTTTGCATCTGTGTTCACACAAAAACAGTACCTAAATAATATTCAACCCCTTAGGTGTTTTATGCTTTTGTTTCTGTCATAAATCAATCATGATCAACATAAATTGCTCTTCTTTACAAATTAGTTGCCCTTTGTCACAGATTCTGTTCATAACTTTTAAGGACAGAATTTCTAGGCGCAGCCAATGTGTTGAGGTGATCTGTTTTGGTGGCCTTAGGATCACTTCTCTGCTTTTTGCAGATGATGTGGTCCTATTGGCTTCATCAGGTCATGACCTACAGCTTTCGCTGGAGCGATTCGCAGCCAAGTGTGACGCAGCCGGGATGAAGATCAGTTCCTCCAAATCCGAGGCCATGGTCTTGGGCCGGAAAAGGGTAGAGTGCCCTCTCTGGGTCGGGGAGGAGTTCCTGCCCCAAGTGGAGGAATTTAAGTATCTTGGGTTCTTGTTCACGAATTAGGGAAAAATGGAGCGTGAGATCGATAGGCAGATAGGTGCGGCGTTGGAAGTGAAGCGGGTGCTGTATCGGTCTGTCGTGGTGAAGAGAGAGCTGAGTCAAAAGGCGAAGCTCTCAATTTACCGGTCGATTTACGTTCCTACCCTCATCTATGGTCATGACCTTTGGGTTGTGACCGAAAGAACGAGATCTCGGATACAAGCGGCCGAAATTAGTGTTCTCCGCAGGGTGTCTGGGCTCTCCCTTAGAGAAAGGGTGAGAAGCTCAGTCATCCGGGAGGAACTCAGAGTAGAGCCGCTGCTTCTCTACATCGAGATGAGCCAGTTGAGGTGGCTCGGGCATCTGGTTAGGATGCCTCCTGGACACCTTCCTGGTGAGGTGTTCCGGATACATCCCACCGGGAGGAGACCCGGAGGAAAGCCCAGGACACGCTGGAGGGACTATGTTTCTCGGCTGGCCTGGGAACGCCTTGGGATTCCGCCGGAGGAGCTGGCTCAAGTGGCTGGGGAGAGGGAAGTCTGGGCCTCCCTACTTAGACTGCTACCCCTGCAACTCGACCCTAGATAAGTGGAAGAGAATGGATGGATGGATACAAATTAGTTGTAAAATAAAAATCTTGAGGACGGCAAGGTGGTGCAATTGGTAGAGCTGCTGCCTCTCAACAAAAAGGTTGCTGGATTGAATCCCAGCCGGGGACCTTTCTGGGTGGAGTTTGCATGTTCTCTCCGTGCTGCGTGGGTTTTCTTCGAGTACTCTGGTTTCTTCCCACAGACCAAAAACATGCATGTTAGACCGATTGGTAATAACAATAATACTTTCTTTATAAAGTCTTTCAAAACCACCACAGCTGCAACAAAATGCTGTACACATAAAATCAAGAGTGCTTAAACACATAAAAAAATACAGCAGCTGTTAAAACATTGAGACCAATAAAAACAATAAAAACAGTGCAGAGCAAATTTCAGGCTGTACTAAAAGCCAGGCAGTACCAATGTGTTTTTAAAAGATTTAAAAATTAACATTGAAAGAGCATTACAGTAATCCAGATGAGAAGAGATGAAGGCATGGATTACTGTTTCCAGCTGCTGTCGTGTAACTAACTCTAAATTGTCCCTAGGTGTGAGTGAGAAAGTGAATGATTGTTTGTCTTTATGTGTCCCTGTGATGGACTGGAGACCTGTCCAGGGTGTCCTCCACCTCTCAGTGACTGCTGGATATGGGCACCTGTGACCCCCATGACCCAAAAAGGAAGAAACAAGTAAAAGATGATGGATGGATGGATGGATGGATGGATAAAAAACATCAATGTCAAAGGAATTTTTTTTTTTAATAAAGTAATTGAAATGATGTAATGTAAAATATGTGATTGCATACATATTCACTCCCATAACATTCCCCAAGAGTTTAATAAATTTCATCATCAAAAAAATGAACAAATACAGGACATGTGTAAATCTACTAAGAGCAGATTGTCCTCACAAAGAGAGCAGGACACCTGTGAGCACTCTGAAAGACCTAAAAGCTTCAGCAGGCGAGATGGAAGAGACCCAGCATACAACTGTTGCCCATGTTCTTCACCAATCTAAGCTTTATGGAGGAGAAAGCTACTGAAGAATACTCATTAAATCTTCACTACAGTTTACTGAGTGAGTAAAATATTTTCATTTAACACATTTAATATGGATTTATTTAATATTGGTTTTCTCTTTTCTCTTTCATTCATACCCACCTGCTCACCAAAGACTCATGTTCGGGCTGCTGTTGTTACGCCATGTTGTTTTACATTATTAGTGTTTAGTGTATATTTTAGATCTTTTAGCATACCGGTTGGTGTTTATTTAGTGTAAATCTTAGTGTATATCTTATTGTATGTCTTAGTGTAAATCTTAGTGTATATCTTAGATCTTTTAGTGTACCGTTTTGTGTTTGTTTAGTGTATATCTTAGTGTACATCTTAGATCCTTATCTATTGTTTCTCCTCATACTTTATATCTTGCTATGTTTGGGTGTAACTAATGCATAATTAACTATAATGTAACTAGTACATAACTGAGTGAGTTCCACCTCATGTACCACATGTGGTGGAAATGACAACAAAGTTGACTTGAACTTGAACTCTTTACCAAAAGCAATACTTATTACTGCCTGTTACATGTACCCCAGAATGTACCATGAACCCATCCTGTAAATACAGCTTAACATGTTCAAGTCACTTCGTTATACAGCCTGGTCTCTGTAGTTACCTGGAACTTACCATGTAACTAACATGTACACAGTAGATACATAAATGGTAACTAATTATTAGATAAGTACTATTACACATCAGGTAAATACCAGTAGGTACCAAGTATGTATCACGTTGATAACAAGTAGTACCTGGTACATACCAGAAATATACCCAGTATAATCTACATGGAACAAACCTGGTACTTACTGTGTATCTATGTACAAAAATAAGTTTTTCATTCATTCATTCAACTTTTATTCATACAGATAAATCTCATTGAGCCTCCAAGACTCATTTACAAGTGAGACCTGTTTGATCAGATAAAAAAGTAATGAAAATGACAACGTGTATAGGATTTGGAGGCAAAAGAATTTCCCAACAGATTTTCACTCTTTGACCGAGGAGAGATAGCCTGAAATAAATTTTAAAAAACACCCCGCACATAGCCACATAGTGACACAGACATTACGCAGGGGAGGGGAGATGACAAGGGCAGTGAGTGTGTCCAAGGACACTCCAAAGGCACTCTGAAGGCACTGTAGGAGTTCTGATAACAATGGTATAATCAGTCAATTCTCTCTGGTGAAATCCGTAAACACTCTCATGCTGAGGTCGACCTATGACAGTGCCAGTGAGAATCCAAGAGTCCTGAAAGGATGACACAATGTTTATTCAGCTTGGTCCCTCAGATAGGTCCGCAGACTTCCTCGGTGTGAGAGGGGAGGGTACCAGAGAGTCCAAGTATCAAACGTATACCATGTACATACCTCCCACATACCTGGCATTACCAAGTAATTGTCCATATTTGTACTAGTCAAGTACCAGTTATGTACCTAGTACCTACCAGGTAAGAACTAGATAGATACCTGGTGTATACCATGTAAGTACTCAGTATGCACCTGATAAATGCCTGGTACATACCAGGCAAGGACGAAGTGCAAACTGGTATGTACCAGGTAATTACCAAGTAAGTACCTGGGACATATGTAACTCATGTAACTGATTCATAAATTGGTACCTTTGTTTTAGTGTCATAGATTCAGTCTGCGTTGAAACTATTAAATACAGAAGAAGGAAAGAAAAGCAGAGTTGAAACAATAATTTGAACTTTTGTAACATGTAGATCTAACACGTTTTCCTCTGTATACACAAACGTCTGTTTTTACTTTTATTTTCTGACATTAATGAGCACAATGAATGAATCTATAAACCAGAAATAATATTGACAAACTTATCCAGACTGAACATAGCCTGCAGTGTAATGTGAAAATGAACAAGACGGCTCTCAGCTCCATCTTTATCTTCTCTCCCCCACCCTCACGGTGTTGTGTCTTATATTCCCGTGTGTCCCCCATGGACTCTGCCTCCCTGGTGATACTGTGGTGTCTGCACTTCTGCCCCATCCACAGATTAGCCACACTTTTGTCAAGGGGGAGAGACAAAGCAAGCGCCTCCCTACTGCTGACACTGGGCTTTCAGCATGGCCCCTTGCCAGGGGAGGCTTTAAAAGGGTGGGGGCGCGTGGCTCTTCTCACTCTCGTGGCAGGACGATCCAAGAGCACCGAAGCAAGGTGAGTCCCCTGTCCCCCAACTCTCAGCCAGAGCAGCAAAGCCAGGGTACGGCAGAGCTACAACATTGACACATTTAATATTTGCGCCCCTCAAAATGTCCCTAAAACGAAGGAGCCACATCTCTGGGCCCAAAGGCCATCATCGCACCCACTGGATGAGATAAAGAGATAGAACAAGTTTGATAGAAAGATTAAAAAATAGTTGTAAATCTTTTCATTTTAGTGGACAAACTATGAATAAAGTCCAGCATCCTGACAATAACATTGATCAAGTCTCTGAGTCTACAGTTATATTGTTTTAACGTGAATATCTTAGTTACTCAAGTCTCCCATCTTTATCTGGTCATCCTCTTGTCTAATGATGTACTGACTGTAGCTCTCATCTTTTAATTTCTTCTTTCAGACAAGATGACTCACCATTGCACCAAGTTCTCCGGCCACTGGAAGGTGAGTCCCCAAACGGCAGGCCGCTGTCCCGATCCATACCCAAATACAGTTCTAACAGGACTCCAATCAGTTACTTGGGCACATTTTCTGGCATTTACAGTAATTACTTTTTGTTAAGGTACACCAGTTTGGCACTGGCTTGAACTTCTAGGAACCTGTACTGGGTCCAGTATTCTAATATACAGTTGTAAAAATAACACCTGCACGACCTGTCCTGGACAGGTTAGTCCATTAGAGGGACACATGGAGACAAACAAGACAAAGATGCTCAACACGTCTTTGGGAGGAAACAGGAGTACCCAGAGAATACTGCAGAGAGAGGATATATGGAAACTCCACACAGGGGTGTTACAGAGTTCATAACTGCAAATATTTTATGGTTATTGCTGTTTTGATTGATAGTTTACAGTTCAGCGTTATATTTTCAGTGGAAATATGATAAAAGGAAAGACAAAAGAGTTATTTGTTTTTCTAAATGCAAGCACTGTTTAATATTGATTTCAAAAGCTCCTCGTGTTTAACCACAATTTTATTGTACTAAAGGCTGGAAAATGGGGCTGTTGTTTCCTTGGACTTGTCCTAGTAAAAATTGCATTAGGTAAAGTAAATTAATTACAATTTTAATTGCTGTCCACTGACCTATAGGCCCTTCAAGCCTTCATGTTGTCTCTTAGCGAAGACCTGCAGCCTCTGTTAAAATAGAAACACGGTTTGAAAACGTAAGTAGGTGTGTGTGAGGTCATGAGGTCTAAAACAACTGTCCGCAGAATATTTAGCTTTGAGTAGTTATGGAAGAAAAAAGTAAAACAGCTGAAACTCTTCTGGAAGAAGTTTTTGTAAACTTCAACCAGCAATAGTTAGGGTCATGAGTCTCTGCCACTTAAAGTTTGTGGGTTGAAAGCTAAAAAGTTTAGTAACCATTGCCCTACAACGTGTTTAAATATTATGAGGTAGAAAAATAATTTACCTTCACGTTATTTCACCTTGTTGAATCTATAAAAACTGGTTAATGTTAGTAACAATTCTCCCTGAAAACATTCATACTGATCTGAAGTGATCATTTATTGTGCTTTAATGCATCCTCATTTCATCAACAGATCATCATCTACGATGAGGAGTGCTTCCAGGGCCGCCGCCATGAGTTCACCTCCGAGTGCAGCAATGTGATGGAGTTCGGATTTGAGACCGTGCGCTCCCTCAGGGTGGAGAGTGGCGCGTGAGTAAAGGCTAACAGTAATGGCAAAGTGTTTAAATTGATAGAGATGTATGTGTGTGAAACTTTAGTTTAGTTTATTATTTTTTGCATATGTAAAAAAATAAATAATAAAACACAGCATGAAGCATAATGTCAAAACTTTTTGTTTTACATATTCAAGAGAGTGTGTAGAAGTATAAACTTATCAAAATTCCACTTAACCACTTCCATACATATAACAACTAAACACATATTTAACCCATCAATATAATATCTATTTAAGTTAACTACAGTAGATAAACAACTATTATTTCTTTAATTTTACACAAAAAACTAGCATCAATAACAAAAACATCAGCAATAATCGAATACTATATATTATATCCAGCAATAATCATTTGTTTATATGATAATTTGAACAGTTTAGATGCACTCTAAAAATAAAATCTAGGTCTTGTTCAAATTACTTACTTACTTTTATTTTAATCATAATTTACAGTCAAATGAAGCAGGTTTGTTATATTAAATCAATAATAGATGATACTAAAGCAACTAAATACTGCCAGTTAAAACTAATGTAAGCAAAAAGAATACAAAATATACTTATAATTTTACTTAATTAGAGAAATGAAGTGAGAACGCGGACATTACCTAAAAGATAAAGCAGCAAAATACTAGCTAAACAAAGCAAAACACTAGGTAAAAGGTAACAGTGGCAAAAGGCTAGCTAGACATTAAAAACACCAAAGGGCTAGCTAAAAATGAAACGTATCATAAGGAAATAAAAATCCACAATGTATTTATTTGGGGGAAATATCTGTAAAAAATGTTTTGAAAAGGGTGCACAATGCAAAAACCAAATATCAGTGCATCCATCTCCTGAATAAGCTGAATGCTTTGATATTTAAACAGATTAAATAGCACAAAGTGTGCAGCGAACACACAAAAATATAAGAACCAGGATATCAATAATCAGCATTCACACAGTAAACTGCATTCTGTACGCATCACTCACAATGATAGGGGCTCTGCTTTCACAAACTGAGTTTCCTGAACTTCTTGTACATCTTTTGAACGCATCGCCTCCATGAACTGAGGAAAAAAGTTAAAAATATTATTAATTTTAATGTTCAAACAACTGTACTGATGTAACTACACTGATTCAAGCTAACAGTTTGTTTCTTAACGTGTGGTCATTTATAACGTATTTTCTTGCTTCTTACCAGCTGGGTGGGTTATGAGCACGGCTCCTACCAGGGACAGCAGTTTGTCCTGGAGAGGGGAGAGTACCCCCAGTGTGACGCATTTGGAGGCAGCAATGCCTATCACATCGAGAGAATGACTTCGTTCAGACCTATCGCCTGTTCTGTGAGTCACCCTTGAGTCTATCTTCTTGTCTGACATCAACTTCCAAACACTGAGTAATTAAAAGCCTAGCATTAATTAAAGGAATGCATATCCCTTGTCACCCTCATGATGGAGTTTTAGTCTGAGGTCATCACAAACTGATAAGTGTTGGAGATCTTTTGGTCAACTCTTGAAAATGCTGCGATGTGCCATCTCAAGCGATGGTGCACTCAGAGAATTGTTGAGTTTCATATTTTACCAAACTAAATTTGAACACATCTGTAAAATTAACTGAAAATTTGCTGTTTGTGTGCATTAAGGTTGCTCAGCCAACTTGATTTGGACTGACGCCAAACATTGATCAGTTGTAGAGGTGCATAAAATGTTAAATTCCTGCAAGTTTCAGCAAAATGTGTTCATGAGAGACACTGACAAAAACACATCTCTGCCTTTGCCTTTCGATGGTGGGTGATAACTGACGTAAACCTGTCTGACTGGACTAACAGCTTCTTCTTTGTGTTGTATTCTTTACCCTCACGGCACCCAACCCCTGCAGAACCACAGAGAGTGTCGTATGACCATCTACGAACGTGAGAACTTCATGGGCCGCAAGGGTGAGCTTAGCGACGATTACCCCTCCCTCCAGGCCATGGGCTGGTGCAACAATGAAGTTGGATCTCTCAGGGTCCATTCTGGAGCGTGAGTGTCCCACAGCTACTTCCACGTTTCTCTCTTTTTTTTTTTTACTTCAAATCCCATTTAAAAACCATTGGTACATGTTGTGTACCGTGTAAACAAAAACAGAATGCAATGATTTTCTAACTTTATTCTTAAAGGAACATCGTAAACAAATCAAATATTTAAACCAAGAAATTGCACAATTTAGTTTTAGGGAGAAAAACGGTCAATTTGAATTTTCTGGCACCAACACGTCAAAAAGTCAAGCAGGGCCATGTTTAAAACAGTGAAGCAGTCTTCTTTTAATAAGAGCCGTCAACATCCAGGAACTGAAGAGACCGGACCTGCATCTGCTGAAGGTTTTAGAGGGAATGTCGTCCCATTCTTGTCTGATGCTGTAGCTGTTCAACTGTCCTGGGACTTAACGCCTGGATTTTTTGTTGTATGATGTTCCAGATGTTTTCAACGGGTGAGAGCTCTGGACTGCAGGAAAACCAGTTCAGCATCAGGACTCTATTGTCTTTCTGAAACATACAGGGCTTCCCTGAAAAATGTGTTGCCTCAACAGGAGTATATGCTGGTCTAATACCTGTATATACTCTTCTCCTCTAATGGTGCCTTTCCAGATGTGTAAGCTGCCCATACCCTAGGCACTAATGCACACCCATACCAACAGAGAGGCAGGCTTTTGGACTGTGTGCTGAAAACAGGCTGAATGGTTCCACTCCTTAGTAAAGAGAGCACGGTGCTTCTAACATAATTTTCAATTTTTAATTTGTCTGACCACAAAACAAATTTAGATCATGCCTTAGTTTGTTTTGAATTAGTTTTGGATCAAAGAAGGCAAGAGTCTTTCTGAATGGTGTTGAAATGTGGATTGTTTGCATGATAGAGCTTGAACCAGCATTAATGGATGGTACATGAAGAACCTTTCCTAAGCCCATGCAGTGATGCCTAGAACAGAATCAGAACCTGTTTTTGGTGCAGTGGTCCCTGAGGGCCTGAAGATCACGGTCATACAATATTGACCTTTGCCCTTATCTTTTGAGCTCTGCAACTTCTCCAAGTTATTGAAAGTTTTGATTTATATTATGAAGTGCAGATGATGGGATACTCACAGTCTTCCCAGTTTTTCATTGAAAAGATGATTCTGAATTTGTTCTTGTATTTTAGACACATTTTTGCAACTACTGAACCTCTGCCATTCTTTACCTCTAAGTGATTTAACCTCCTTTAAATGCTCTTTAAATAGTCAGTCCTCTGACGGACATGTTGCTTGTCCAGTTAGTTGCGCATTGCCACACTAGTTGCTTCTTCTTCATGTCTCTTGCTGTTACAACCTTCTGTTGCATCTATCCTGACTTTTTTGAGACAATGCTGCCAACAAATTCAAAATGTACTCTCTTTCCCAAGTAATGATACATAGAAATAATAATAAAAAAACACCAATGGTCCTAGAAAGTGGATAAGTTTACTTTGCATCATTGTAAATAAAATATATGTTTACAAGTTTTGCATAATATTACAATCTGTGTTAATTGACATTTTCCATAACATTCAAACTTTTTCAGAATTGGGGTTGTATGTTTTTTTTTTCTTGCTCAAGCTTTTCACAGCAGTCATGAAATATTTTATCTGCACTTTTTCCTCCCCCCTTCCCTCAACAGATTTGTGTGCTACCAGTATCCTGGTTATCGTGGCTACCAGTATATCATGGAGTGTGACCGTCACTGCGGGGAGTACAAACACTTCAGGGAGTTTGGCTCCCACTGCCAGACTCCCCAGATCCAGTCCATCCGTCGTATTCAGCAGTAACAGCTCACATCAAACCTGTGACCCTCCACCCTTTACTCCCCCTCACCCCTCCTCACTGCCTCCTGGTGCTGAATAAACAGTTTTTCTTAAACATTACTGACTTCCACCGATGTATCTTCTTCTGCGAGGCACGGTTCTCCCACTTGGGCTCATGCTGTTGTGAACGGTGACCCCTTCTCTTCACCAGTCACATCTCAGTGTTCAGAGCAAACCTGACAATAAAGACTGAAGCTGAAAATGGAAATGTGTGATTCAAATATCCTGATGCATGCTCAATAATCCAGGTAGAAAAATCTAAAAAAGTTAAGTCTGGTCCTCTGGACATTCAAAAAACAAAACAAAACAAAAAAATTGTAGAAACGTTTCGTCTTTCATCCGAAAGACTTCCTCAGTCTGAGGTGCTGTGTTCAACTCAGTCTTATAAATAGCACCTTCTCAGAGTGGATCAATAGTTCAAATAGTTTCGAAAATAGTTCATCTGACATTCACAAAATTTGTTGTGAACTTTTGCTGTTGATTAATTCCATTTATTTTTCTTAGATCTTTTCATTTTCATGATTTGAACATGATTAAATCAAAGACCAGATCTCCTTGGAAGTGTACATCATTTGCCGTGTTCATGCCACAGTTTTAAACTAATATCTTATAATGAGAAAAGATGGAGATGGAGCAGATTTGGTCAAACTTTGGAAATAAAAGTGATGCCCCATCTGTAATTTTGTGAGATGTCATGTTCAGAGTGTGTGCTGGGGATGACTCTCAGCTACTACCACAGCTAATATCTGAAAAACTGACAGTTATACACACTTTTGTGTTTTTTAGGTCTTGCTCTGTGGATCATCTTATTTGTGTTGACTTGTGTATAATATAGCTGTAGTATTTAAAAATCCTGTACAACAAATATTCTGAGTCTGAGCTTGACATATCATGGTACTGCATGGGACTGTGCATAGGAGGTTTTTTTTTTGTTAAAGATTTGACCAAAATCCTTACAACTCTGTCATTTCTCAATCTAAGATGGTTTCATTTTAAATCTGGCATGAAAGACAGTAGCTGATATGCATTCCTTCTAGGAACTGCAGATCGAGCCTATAACTTAAAACAGGAATGCTAATATCTGAAACACACTCTAAAGCCTGCAGGAAAAAGTTCATCTTTTGGACACAGTGGTTTGTTTCTATGTGGAAAAGAACCACACATCTGTGAGATCTCAAAAGAAGCTCGTCGAAACAATATAAGATCGTTATGAGATCACATGAAATATCAGGTCTGAACATGCTGCTAGAGTCCAAACAGCTCCAGTTTGTCTGGTGGTTTGCATGCATTTGCAACCATTTGGTTACAAAAACACAGTTACCTCATCCAGTTCCACAGAAACGCTTTAGCTCTGTTCTGTGAAGCTGCAAGAAAAGATACAAACATCTTTGATTGAAAGGACACATATTGCCTTCTGCTTTGACGCCAAAGTTTTGAAGAACAACTTCTGTTAGCACAGAATATGTGCTGGTGACACTCAGCTCTTACCAAATCCTTAGTTCAGCATCAGTAACACTTAAGGGCTTAGCATGAATTAATGTCATTGGAAACTTTTCATGCCAGAGTTTTAAATGGAAATCATCTCAAAATCATCCTAGTTTTCAACATTTTGATCAAACTCAAATGACGTCATGCAACTGTGAACTCTCGGGGAAAGAGTCACTGTTCAGTTTTTACATCAGCTGCTGCCACACATAACTTAGCTCAGAAGCTGTTAAATTAACTGTGTTATAGTCATGTTTTGTTGACTGTTGATTAGCTGTAACAACTTTCTTTAATTGGATTGACTCCAAAAGTGAATCAGTTTCAAATGTGCATCAGATAATTACTTCTGGAGAACAAAAACTGTTAAATTGTGTCATCTGGATCAGTCACTTAAAGAAACTGGTACAGATGACACGATTGAACCTTTTTTGTTGTTATCTACCTGGATGATTGAGCTTACAACTCTTTTTATGAACCACTTTGGCCTTGGGTGTCCTCAGGCTGTTTCTGCGAGTAGCAAGTTGGTTATATGGCCTAAAACCTTTGATTGTTGTTGACGATGACTGATTGTTTTGGGTGTATGTGTTTTACACGTGTTAATTTTGAGATTCCAACAGGAGGTTGGCTTGAAACACAGCAGTGAAGGCCACCTATGGGACAGATCTGGTTGGCAGGCTGTAGACTGATGAAGTCCTCTGGATGGGGGACAAAACGTCTCTCATTTAAAGAAACTGGTCCAGATAACACGATTTAACCTTTTTTGTTGTTATCTATCTGGATGACTGAGCATACAAACCTTTTACTTTTTGAGAGTTTAATTAAAATTGATCCAGTAAAGACAAACAAGATTGATTCAACAGTTAATGACAATGCTTTAAATAAAGTATTGCACATGCAGTGATGGATTAATGTTTTGTGGATGACTCTAAGCTGTGGTCACACCAAAGTTTAGTCCATCGTTTTTATGAATGAACTACAGCCATTTTTGTGTTTCATAAGATCAGTTGGCTTCAGTGTGAATCCTGGACTGAGTTTAGCCCAACATTTGCTCACTTGTAGATCTGCAACTGTTAGTGACGTAGGATAAAAACACTCAATACTACCAACAGATAAAGATGAAAGTTTTGTATTATTTTGGAGGGGAATGTAGAATCGTCTGCTTGAATATTGATTGAACGTTGTAACAAGTAGTGTAAAGAGGAAACAGAAACTAGTTTTCAGCTTTATGGACACGGCTTCAAACTGCAGCTTAAAACACCTGAAAGTTTTGAACTTGAACAATAAAGAGCAACACTGACTGTCATGGACATTCTCCAGTTATCTGGAGCTCAACCCAACTGCAACTGATGAAAGAAGTCTAACAAACAAACTTGACAAGCTCTTTGGAACATCATGGTGCGACATGCTGTCAGGTCTCAAAACATAAAGTGCTGAGTTAAAGTCTAGGACTCAAAGAAGCAGAAGGAAGACAGGAAAATTAAACATTTTGTATTTCTTGAAGGAATGCCTATCACCTGATAACTTTCATGTAAAGTTTTAGTCTAAGAAAATCTTATTTAAAAGGACAGAACTGTAGTCATTGAGGTCAAACCTTATGAATAACTATGCATGATGTCATGTGATGTTAAGAGATGTTACGCTCAGAGTATGTGCTGTGAATGACTCGCAGCTGTTAGTTGTCCTGAGTCCTGAGTTGGACTGGCTTTAAATGGTAATCAGTTAGATTCAATTCCATTCAGTTTATTTATATAGCACCAAGTCATAACAGAAGTCATCTCAGGGCACTGAAAACAAACATTCATATATAAAATAATAATTTAACCTTATTTATCTGAGGAGCAGACTGCTTTGAGTTAAACTCCATCACAGAACTCTCATCTTGAACAAGCATGAAGGCGACAGTGGAAAGGAAAAACTCCCTCATGAGGAAGAAACCTTTAGCAGAACCAGGCTCAGGACAAGTGGCCATATGCTTTGACTGACTGCGTTTGGTAGGAACAGATACACAATGGCAGGTCAAGAATCACATGTTAAGATTGAAATAGTATCAAATAAAAACTATTCAATTTTAACAATTCATTTAAGGAAATGAAGTCAATTTGTCCTCTAGTAGTCTAAGCTTAAGATAGCATAACACACCAACCCTAACTAAAGGATTTATCAAAAAGGAGAGTCTTAAGCCCAGTCTTAAAACTGGATAATGTGTCAGCCTCACAGACAGAAACTGGAAGTTGTTCCACAAGAGAGGAGCCTGAAAACTGAAAGATCTTCCTCCCATTCTGCTTTTGGAAACTCTTGGGCCCAGGAGTAAACCTGCAGTCTGAGAGCGAAGTGCTCTGTTAGGAAAATATGGAACAATAAGATCTGTAATATAAGATGGAGTTAGGTTGTTGAGAGCTTTGAAGGTTAGAAGTAGGATTTTGAATTCTATTCTGGATTGGACTGGGAGCCAATGGCGAGAAGCTAAAACTGGAGAGATATGATCTCACCTACTAACTCCAGTTAAGACTCTGGCAGCAGCATTTTGGATCAACTGAAGACGTTTTTGTAGAGGTTGGCTCCCTACCCCTCCCTTCTCTGTTGTTTGCTCTTCCTAATTACCTTTCCACAGCTGTTGCCCATTACCTGGACCAAGTGGAGGAGCTATTTAAGTTGGAGCTTCACTTCAGACCAGTGCCAGAACAAAGAACTACCAAGCTTCATGTTCCTGTGACCTACTGGCTGGCTGAATCCAAGCTCTCCATTGGCTCCCTGCATGACAGCAGTGTTTTCCTACACCACCATTACTCCTGTGTGCCTCACCTGGTTCCTGGATCTTCTATCCCCGAGTCCTCCTCTCCACCACCTCTCCTGGTTCTCCACACCTACGCCCCGGCTCCCTTGGTGGCTCGGTAAATATACTCGTTAAAATACTCACCTGGTCGCACCGTGGATTATTGGATTCCGGTCCTGTCTCCTGTTTCTCACGCTCCTGGAACGACAACGACACGTAAGCCAATTTTGGATTACTAAGTCTATATCTCCAAAATCTCCTCTCAAGACGAATTGTCGTTCACCACCAATCTCCCCTCTGTTCTCACAGTGGATCCTTCCTGATTTGAGTCTTACCAGCTACACCAGTACCAGTAAATATAATTGTCTTTTATACCTCAGGTTGTTTTGTCATTGCTTCAAACCGTTCGCTTTTGACAACACCCACAGACCCTAACAGTTTGTTCTGGCCAAAAATATGTCAAAGAACGGTTCGAATGCTGACCAGGTCACCCTTGAGGAGAGGGTAAGGAGAAATGAAGTTCTCTTACAGGAACTAATCGCTCAACACAAGACTACACAGTCAAATCTGGAAACGGTGGGTGGAATGATTCAGTCCATCGGCAATAGAATGGGAACACTAACTCCACCCACGCCGGCCGTCTCACCACCATTAGCGCCACCAGCGCAAAGCACCGCCCGCTCGGAACAACCCCGTGAGCCGGAGATTCGGCCGGCCGCAGTTTTGAAGGTAACCCGGAATAGTTCAATGGTTTCCTCCTCCAATGTGAACTAGCATTTGCCCATTCTCCTTCTCTGTTTCCAAACTCTGAATCCATGATCACTTATATCATTACTTCATTGAGAGGTGTACCTCTTGATTGGGCTCATGCCTACCTCCAGTCTCACACTGTGGTCTCACTATCATTTAGCGACTTTATTAAGGATTTCAAGTGTGTGTTTCAT